GGGGCAGGTGCCGGGGGTGGTGTGCGTGGCAGCTGGCGTTGCCTGGACCCAAGGAGTGCTTAAGGGCAGAGGGACACTTCCTTTCCTCACGGGGTACCGACGAGACCTCGGGACCCCAATGCAAGCAGCAGCCAACCCTTCTCTCCCTGCCAGGAGGTCCTGCTTGGGATCCCAAGGAAGAGAGGAGGGCCAGAAGCAGGTCTAAGGGCACCTCTGAAGGAGGGACGGAACTACACAAGCTAGGCACTGAGTAAGTGGCAACCTTTATTGTGGGCATTATGCGTTATATGGGCATGGATGCATGGTAGAGTGATCCCCCACACACACCCTGGTCGGGATGGGCAGGCAAATGCCAGGGTCACTGACCTTTCTCTCTAGGCTGGAAGTCAGAGAAAGACACTGTAGGGAGGCATTTCTCTGTGCCTGGCACTGTGCTGCCTGCTGCAAGGATGTTGTCCCTTTCAGTCCTCTCAATGCTCTATCTTAATTCCCCCAACTCCCCCCATCCCCTGCCTCCACCCCTGCCACCAGCCCCTTGTCAAAACTTCTTCTGAGCACTGCAGCCCCTTTCTGCCCCCGCCTCCTGTGAGCACTGATACGCGTACGTTTGTCAGGAAGCAGATGCCCCTGTCAGCTGGCATTTAGCGTGCGTTTTTGCCTTTCCTTCTGTGCAGACTGCAAACTCAAGGACAAGGACCATGTCTCTGTTTTGCCAATCAAAGCACACAACTTTATTGATGATACACACAGAGGCGGACTCAGGTGGAAGAGGTTAAGTCAGTACAATAGACAGAAGAAGAGTGTACTTTTTGATGAATAGGTTCACCATCCATCAGCTCGTGTAGAAGAGTAAATGAAACATAATTCAACCTAAGCTGCAACAAATGCATTTTCAGCTCAAGCTCCGATATGCGTCTGGTCTCTGCAAAGTGGTCCCGCTTAGACAGGGAGACCACCACAGGCAACCACGGCACCCGCGATGCTGTAATTGGATGTTCTTTATCCACAGCAGGCGGCCGAAGGGATCCCTTCACCACAGGAAGGAGGCTGCAAGGGAGGAGTTTACATAGCACGTTGCCTGCAGGCTGCAAAACCAACAAGTTACTCAGAGCTCTGTGGGAGCCCCTGCCTGGCCAATAAGAGTGTGGTCCTCGACTGAACACTGAAACTTTCACCCAATGATGTGGTGACTGGCTAAGGCTGGCCCTTCAGTTGCACCCTCTGCAGAATCTTTGACATCTGCAAACCAAGCAGGTTTGGGGTGGATTCAGTCCCATTCTGCTGGAGACGGCCATTTAAGGGGCCAGGGCTTCCAGGAGTATCTCTCTGTTTCCGTTTCTGATGAGGAGGGACATGAAAGAGAAGAGCATTTGGGCACCAAGCAACTCCCCCGCCAAGACTGGCTTTTCAGACAAACCCATCAGCGGTTTCAAAACCTGAATCTCAGCACATCCACTTCCCTCTGATATCAAAGGAAACTTCAAGTCTGAAACGGACTTGGCAAGCATGTTATTAATAACTGTCACGCTTATTAACAAATTTAATCCGGCCTGCTGCAGAAATGAGTTGCAGCAACGTGACACAGGCTCCCGACACACTTCACTGATGTACATCTTAATCTGGCCCTGACTTTCAATACCCGCATTCACGTTAGCTGGGGCACACAAAGCCTCTCTGACAGCAGGGTCAGGAGTGGGGATGGTGATTCCCACCATTGAGAGGCTGGCCAAATGACTACTGATATTGTGGCCAAATGAAAATCCTGCATTCCTGGGCTCGACAAACAACAGGTTTCCCTGAATGAGGAGACACTTGGACGGGTCAAGAATATAACTGACATTTTTAAAGTGTTGAGCACTCCAAGTATTTTTATGTTCATAGGGGAACGGCCTCTGTTTTATTGGGTGTGCTCGATTGGCCTTTCCTCCCCCTGAAGGCCTGTCCTCAGTGCCACCTGGGGCTCCAGGCTCTGTCCAATCTCCGTCCTCATTCCACGGCCGAGTCATAGTTGTGAAATCAAACCAAATATCCGGCTCCTCCTCGTCCAGCTCCTGGTCATCATCCCATTCCTCTTCCTCCTCCTCCTCCAACTTCTCGCTGTCACCTCTTCCTACCGTCAGTTTGTAAACGCAGTAGCAGGCACCAGCCCCAATCATCAGTCCTGCTGCCATCCAACCCACTTCCCGTGCCCGGCCCATGCTCAAGTCTATGTCAACCTTGGAGGAGGATAAGAAAGGACCTTGCTCCACCTGACTGAAGAGGACCTTTAGTGCCAGGGTGAGTATTGGTGGAGGGTAGTAGTTTTCAGCCTCTTCCAGGCTCCTGTTGGTCTGTTATGAAGAATCTATGGGTGAAAAAAGAGTATTAGGGTTTTGGATTGTGCCTGCTTTTGTGCCTCACCAAACAGAGGGTGGAGCCAAGTTCTCAGTGAGCACAGTGGATTCATAGCAAACTGTTATTTGTTATCTTCTCTCCTCCCCTATCTATCCTCAGAATCTACCATTTGTCTTCCTGACCCTACAGAGAAAAGCTGGATATGGGGCTGTGCTATGATAACCAGGAGGGTGAGGAGGAGGGTATCCCTCAGGTTATCTCTGCCACACACCTCTACCACCACAGTTTCATGGGAAGTTTCTCCCATCAACCTTTACTAAAGTCAGGTAAATTCCTTGGTCTTTCCTTGTCGTCCGTTGTCAGTATTTCCTCCACAGTGATAGGTGGACAGAGTTTGGCAGGACAAATGGAAAGACAGATAAGCAGCAATGGAGAATGAAAGTGTAGTGGACAGACTGAAGACACAGGTCCCAATATCTGCTTTTCTGAATTTTAGGCCCTTGAGTTTAAAAGATTTCTCACACTTTTCTGACTCCTCGTGCGGGCTTCCCCCGCCCCCTGGTCATCCGCCATTTCCCCAGCAAAAGCCGCCACACCCCTTTCCCTGCACTGAAATGGGAGGGGGTGTGGAGAAAGAAGGGGCCAGGAGAGGGCGACTCGGACCTAGCCGTCACGGATCCCAACCCCCTTCTTCCGCCGCCCCCACCCACGGTCCCGGGCTAATCCCACCTTCACACCGACCGGCACGGTTCCAACTAAGGCAGTTTGCTCCTTCTCTCGCCAAGATCTGCGCCGCGACCTACAGGCCAATAGACCTACAAACCTGCAAAAAGACGGGACGGAGAGGACGGAGTGCTTGGTGGACAGACCAGTACCCGGGACACCGGGTTCCCCGATCCTGGAACCAACCTGTTTTTCTCGGAATCTCTGGAACCTCCAACCACTCCCCTCACCCCCACCCGAAGCCTGCCACTTCTCTCTACTAAAATCAGTATGGGGTGGGATGGGGGTGGGGGTCGGTATTTAGAAAGTAGGCGAGAAAGGGACACAGCCCCATTGACCCGAACTTAGATCTGCAGCACTCTTGGCCCTCTGCCACCCCAACCGCTTTCCAAGCAGCGCCCACCGTCGCACCGACCTGCATGGCCCGAGCTAGTTTCCTTCTCCCTTCCAAGCCTGCAGAGTAATAGGGGCTGGTACCCAGACAGAGGAGACTAGCAGGACTTATGCTCTAGGCGGCTCTTGGTCACGTGACAGCCACGTCACCAGTGAGCTCTGGCCCCCAATTTCCACTCCCACAAGCAGTGCGGCAGGCGCCAGCCTGCTTTGTACCTCCCCCCATCACACTGGGCCTTGTCACTCTTTTCCTCTGTAACAATACCAGAAACCAGAAGTGGCCATGTCTCTCTGGTGTTTAAATTTGACTTTCTCTAGTTTCAGGAAGGGGCAGCATCTTTTCCTGGATCTACCCTTCACTTATACTTCTTGGGGAATTATCTCATCCTTTCCTTGTCTCTGAAGCTCCTACACCCCCTTTCTTAATTTCTACCTCTTTTCCATGTTTAATCTTTGCACCAAAATTGGGGGAGAGGCAGAAAATGAAGCTCAGGTAGTGAGATGATGATGATGATTATTATTATTATTATTATTTTGAGTTGGAGTCTCACTCCATCGCCCAGGCTGGAGTGGAGTGGCATGTTCACAGCCACCCCAGCGTCGACCTGCTGGGCTCCGGTGATCCTTCCGCTTCAGCCTTTCAAGTAACCAGAACTACAAGCATGCCCTACTATGCCCGGCTAATTTTTGATATTGTAGAGACGAGGTCTCACCAAGTTGCTGAGGCTGGTCTAGAACCCGCAGGCTCAGGCAATCCTCTCGTCTCGGCCTCCCAAAGTGCTGGGATTACAGCCTGAGCCACTGAGCCCTGCCATTTATAAATATTTTTGATACATTTGTGTTCTATTTTGTCCTTCCTTTTTTATTGACTTGAGCTACACTATTTTGTAATCAGAAAATACAACCAAGCTGTTTCCACTTGGAGAAAAAGAATTCAAATACTTTTTAAAAATGTGTATAATATAAGCAAGATTTTCCAGGTAATGGGGAAGTTTCATTGATTTGGTGAAGTTAATTGCATTACATTGAAAATATTTTCTTCTAACTGCACAGGAAATAGTGGCTTCAATTAGCATATTAAAATTTAAAAACATATCCTTACAAACAAAAACATGTGCTTTCAATAGGACTTATAAATTGATGAGTAAATGAATTTATAGTGAGGCCAGTGTTCTAATCATGAGCATTTTAGGTAAGTGAACCACTGTCCCTTTCTTTCTTCTGGCAGAACTTATAGTATTAGGTGTCAAATGACTGAGATCTTTATGGAAGATTGCTGAATGGCTTTCACTCTGACTTCAAAGGACAGACTTCATGCAGACCTCAACTTCAGATAAATTTTGCATCTTCAGTTGATCCTTACAGATTAGTAACTTCACAGATTAGCCTGCCTTTCATTCCAAGTGCTTTGCTTAAAATCTATTCTGAAGTTTCATGGTGCAACCCATAAATCACCCAGAAATTAGAGAATTCCTTGTTAGTCCATTGATGAAAATGAAACTTAATAAGAGAGAATTCTCATTCTATCATGGCACTGGAAGATCTCTCCAGCGGCTGCTATTCATGTACATTTTCCAGTGGAGATGGTGATGAGGGTCTGTGGGTATCTGTGAATCGCTGCAACACCCCTGATGTCCATGTTATTTTTTTCTCTCACAAATGGAGAGACAATGTACAGGACCCCAAGCAGTCGCCAGGAAAAAGAGGGCTTTTCATTTCCTGTCTTTTGTTACAACTTCACTGAACCACCCGTACAAGCCCCTCAGAATAATTTCAGAACTCAAGGGCAAAGTATGCAGAAATTAGTCCCCACACATCCACCTGTCCTAGCTGGGGAGTCATACTCTAAATATAGACCCTTCAGACAGCCTCTTTCTTAGAACTCTGAAATATGACACCTCAGCAGCAGGCCCCCCTTCCCAGGGGCCTCTGTGTGGAGGAGGCCCTTTCAGGAGGGGAGCCAGGGAGCTCTAGTGCCTTGCTGGTGAATATCCAGAAGTAAAGAACATGTCACAACTTTCTGGTCTTCCCTTTTTGTAGTCCAAATTCACTCATCAATATCATATCCTATCTCTTTAAATGTTTACCTCATTTGTTTCATCACCATTCCCTTATACCATTCTTTTCATGACCCCTTTTTTACTACTAGATCAGTGAATTCTATTTGTGAAGACTTACTAACAGAGCTCGTGGATTCAACTGCCTATCATTCAGTTTTCAGCTGGTAGGTACTTGTATAAGTAGCTTTTGTTTGTTTTGAATATATACATTAGAAAGAATTTAGTAGTATGTAAAGCTTAACAGAAACAGATGACACTGTGTTGTAGACATGGCTCTTCAATAGGAACTCATCTTCACAACACTTAGCCAGGCTTCAGTGACAAAAGCTCTACTCCTACCTCTTCTTACTAGTATAAAATTTCTCCTCCTTTTGGTATATCCTCCAATTTCAATGTATAATCCCTGACTACCATTCTCTAAGTCAGAGATTTTCCAGTTTGAATCCACTCCTGTCTAAAACTTCCTAAATCCTATGGGATTGACAATTCTTTCAATTCTCTAACCTCTTTATCATTCTGATCAATAGTTCTACCAATTCCTCCCCGGAAACTAACATTTAAAACTACTTTGCTTGGCGTTATACACATATCAACAAATATTTATTTAAGGACATGTTATGTGCCTGCATACCATTTCAAAAGCACACAAAAAAAGGAACATGCTTAAGCAAGTCTTCAGACAAACCTGTTAAAAATTCCTGAGCCTGCAAAAGGCCATGTGAAGCCATTACCAAAAAGAACCTTTTGGCTTAAATCCATATGTGTTCACCTGTGGTATGTAACTTATAATGTACCTGCAAACAAAAAAGGACCAGCTGATTATAACACTGATGAAATTGTGAAGGGCGAAAAAAAGACTGTAGAAGATTATTATCTTGAAAAGTTATTTTGCTTTTTGTAATGTGTGTTTTTTTAAAATTGTGTCTTCATTAAAGTTGTTTGGCCACAAGCAACAGAAAACAAGCCTAGTTAACTTGGAAAAGGAGGGACCATGGAAGATCAGGGTCAGCTCTGAGGGGTCTGAGTAGGAGGAGTTGATAGTTATCTCTTCAGGGTGCCATAAGTCCACCAATTTTCAGGTTTTTACTTCTCTGCTCAAGATTCACATTTTAGTAAGAGACCTTTGGGTTGGTCTCTTTTGGACACAATGGCCAGCCCCTTTGCTGAGGAAAACATAGGGTGTGTAAAATGTACTTTCTTTCTTTTCCTAGAGAAATGTAAACTGTTTCAGATGCTGCTATTGATTGTAGGACCCCTTTAATCATTTTGAATATTAACCCTTTGTCCTGCTGTGGAGGTGCTGTGAGCTTATCTGCCACAGCAGTTTTAGTTGTAATTTTCACAGTAACTGAACATCAGGAAAGCACAGTTATGAAATGGTGATACACAAAATTGTCTTTTGAGCCAAGGCCACCTGGGCTTCCCTGACAGGGTTCTACAAGGTTGCACTTACAGTTTGAGGTCTCTTCTTCAGAGTTGCATGATCAAGCCCTGGTTTCATCTGTATGCTGAGAACAGATGCCTCTGTCAAGGAGACTCACATTCATAGTGACTTATATAACAATCTAGATCTGAAGGCTCAAACCTATGTGTTTCTGCATTCTCTTCCTGTAAGTAGGCCACAAGGAAAGATAAGTATCAACAGGGGTGACAACTGAATAATTTTCCCGGAGAAATACAAGTGTCAGGGGTACTGAAAGTTTCTGTCAAGTTACTACTTGGGAAGCAATAACCTCAGAAGGTTGCTTGGTGAGCTTGCAATCAGAGCAATGACATCCGCTCACGTTAAGAAGTGACTTTCAGCTGAGGAAGCTTGAAGTGCTCTTATACAGCATGGGGATGACTCTGTCAAGGAAAGTGAAATGTTCCATTCCTCAGAGACAACACTCCCTCTCCTCCAGATAGTGCTTGGATGTGGAGTAGCAACACTTTCTTCTGACTCTCCTTTTCATATATTCCTATGCTTGAATGAGCCCGTTTGCTGCATGTGATCTTTCTCTAAACACAGGATCATATAGTTGATTTGGTTTCTGTTTACTAAATTTCAATCATGTTCCAGTACTATCTCCCAGAAGTTACATCAATATGAATTTTCCTGGAAGTTTGCCTCTTCCCAAACTCCTTATTCTCTTGATTTATTCCCATATTGTCTGTGAATCATAAAAGTCATACTCAGATAACAACCTTATATCCAAACTATTAGGGAATATTCCACTGAAGACCCCATGTCCTGAAAAGCCGTATTACTTTCTGTATTGTACGATTTCTTTTTGTATCACATATTAGTTAAGATTGCTTGGTTGCAAGCAACTGAAGCCAGGGCTGGTTAATTTAAACAAGGAGAGAATATCATTATTTTATTTCTTTTCCTACTTTAAAAGGTTAAATAATTGATACTTGGGTGAATTATTGAGTTAATCAAACCAATCAGTGAACTGGTTTCACACTAATTGCTAGATGCAGAGTTCGGTCAATTTTGTCTTGGGCTCAGTGTTCCTCTAATACCTATTTCATTATAGATAATATTTTCTAAGTGTACCCAAGCATATTTTGTAAAGTTTTTTGTATATCAGTTACTTTGTCAGTGTGCATGCTTTATCTTACAGATACTGACTATGCAGTCATGATTTCTACTCATTTTTTTTCTGTGTTACTAGCTTTTGTGGCCTTAGTGCCTCCTCCTTGCTGACTGATGCAGGTGAAAGTCTGTAGCTCTCCTATTCAGAAGACTGGCCTAGTTTGCTTAGACAAGACACACTTATTAGCTCATTTAGGGTTGTGTTACGTGCTAGGCCCCAGAAGATGTTAAGATTGCTTTGAGCAAAGTGTGTTAACACATTCCACCAAGTGAGAAAATGTGGGACTTCTGGAAGCCATGGCCCAACATCACTCTCCAACCTCCACACTTTTTATTTCTAAAATAAAAATAGCTTTAGAGTATTTTTTTTCCTCACAAAAGGAATGCAGGCTGGGGGCAGGGGAGGGCAGAACGAAAATTTTAAAAGTACTAGGAAAGTAAAAGACTGTCATTCCAGATTTCCTTTTCTTATCGCTTGCTCATTTCAGATTTTAGACTAGATTGCAGAGGAAATGGTAGACGTTAATAGCTGGGAGGAGGGGAGGTAGAGAAAGGCTGCTGGTGTCCCAGGAGCCTAGGGAAGGAAGAGGCAATTTTTCAAAAAAGTACAAGTGGACAGTAGCCCCAGGGGAAGATGCCGTCCCTTTCTGGTAATCGAAAGAAGGGAAACGCAACTACAGGGAGATGGGATTAGAGAAAAAGAGAGTAACAGGCCTGGTATGCGGGAGGGAATGGAGGGGGGCGGGCCCTCTTCTGCGGCACTGCTGGTGGGAGGGGAAATTGGGGACCCGAGTTGGTGGATGACGTAGCTCTCACGTGACCAAGAGCTGACGTGTGCAGAAGTCCTTCTTGTCCTGGTCGTTGTTCCCGTCTGAGTACCACCTCCCTATTGCCCTGAGGGCGGGCTGGCCTGTGGCAGAGGGAAGAAGGAGGAAGAGACGGAAATTGTCCCGGATCCCTGCAGGTCAGTGCCTGGGAGATTCCATAAAGTGGGGGTGGCTGAGGGCATAGGGCGGAGACCGTCGCGGATCCTGAGGCGCCTCTGTCGTCTCTCTTACCGCCCGCTTTCCAAGACATATGTCCCACCTGCAGCCCGTTTCAGTGCTGCAAAACGGTGAGCAGGGGGTATTTGGAGAGGAGTCCAGAGATCGGAAGATGGGAATCTGCTGGGAGCCGAGGCCCTCAATCCGGAAAGGAAGCTTTGGCCTGGGTGTTGGCCCCTAGTCCACCAGGACAGTGTCAGCGGGGAAAGACTGGACATGGGGAGCAGGAGTGGTGAGGTGCAATGTGATGTGTCAGCAGAACCCCAAGAGGGGTAATAGGGGTGAGAAATCCTTGACAACCAAGCCTCCAATTACGAAAGAGGTTTCGTGTTGTGGGGACCGGTCCGTCCACCAAGCACTCAGTAGCGGCTGTTTCCCGTCTTTCAGCCTGGGGCTGTAGCTTCCTGACCGTGGCTCTGCGTCCAGTGGGTCCGAGCCTCTCCCGGGTGGCTAGTCTTTTCATAGGTTGAGGCACAACGCCAGGCAAGAGAAGAGGAAGGAAATTAACCCCTATCGGTGAAGGTCGATTTGAGGGTAAGACCATCTAAGGACCCTAGGAGGGGCGGGGACGAGGGTGGGAGTGAGGGGTGGGGAGAAGGCAGAGGAGGTAATAATCTAGGTTCAGGTCTGAGTCTGAATGTGTTTCACGCACTCCCCAGACTGTGGCGAAATGGCGTGCGTTGTGTGTGTGTGGTGGAGTGGGGGATGACAGTAGGGAAACCTATCAGATAGTTTGTTCATAATCCTCCTCTCTCAACAGCAGTTAGTCCCTATGTTTTCGATCTGTCATCCTGCAGGTCGGCTGTAGCAGGTGGCCCCGCTTGCATCGAGGGAGGAAGTTTCTCTGATCAGTAGAGGTCGGTGTGGGCGTGGGGGCTTCCTGGAAAGGGGGAGGGGTTGGAAATCTGTCGCGGTTTGGGCGGGCTCACTCAATCCTACTTTATTTTCCTTACATCCCTCCCATTTCAAGCTAGGGAGGGGGCAGGCATGTGCATGTTTTGGGTGGCAAAGAGAGGTTAAGAACATTTTGACAGTCCGAATGGTGACTCAAGAAAGCAACAAATGAACAGTCAATTCACCAAGCTCGCAGTTCTCGCTAATTCTGGTTTTTCTGCAGATTGGAAAGGTTGTTGGGCGTGGCAGACCTTCAGAGAAGGAAAGAGGCGTCAAACTGCCTGTTTTGAGGAGGTTAGTGCAAGGGTTCTACACACTTGGACACCTGAGGTTGTGGTGATTGAGTCCAGCAGAGTCTGTGGACTCCATCGCTTTTATCTAAGCTTGGGTGGGAGGTGAGCTCGGGGGAAGAGAGAGGGTGAAATGAGGGAGATAAAGATTTTGTCAACAATCTACATTTCTTAACTAGCATTCAGTTACTACCCTCTTGGCCCTCTGTGCAAATCCCTGCATGGGGCAACACAAACAGAAGAGAAACTCAAACCCTATTTTCTTCCTCCACCCCTAGGTCCAATTCCATTCCATAATCAGTTGTTGTGGCCCTGAAGTGGCTGAAGACGATCACCTTCCACAGGCCTGCACCCAGGCCCACAGCTGTCTTCCCCCAGCCTGAGTGACTACTCTATTCCTTGGTCCCTGCTATTGTCAGGGACGATTGCATGGGCTACGCCAGGAAAGTAGGCTGGGTGACTGCAGGCCTGGTTATTGGGGCTGGCGCCTGCTATTGCATTTATAGACTGACCAGAGGAAGAAAACAGAACAAGGAGAAAATGGCTGAGGGAGGGTCTGGGGATGTGGATGATGCTGGAGACTGTTCTGGGGCTAGGTACAATGACTGGTCTGATGATGATGATGACAGCAATGACAGCAAGAGTATAGTATGGTACCCACCTTGGGCCCGAATTGGGACTGAGGCTGGGACCAGAGCTAGAGCTAGGGCAAGGGCCAGGGCTACCCGGGCACGTCGTGCTGTCCAGAAACGGGCTTCTCCCAATTCAGATGATACTATTTTGTCCCCTCAAGAGCTTCAAAAAGTTCTTTGCTTGGTTGAGATGTCAGAAAAACCTTATATTCTTGAAGCAGCTTTAATTGCTCTGGGTAACAATGCTGCTTATGCATTCAACAGAGATATTATTCGTGATCTGGGTGGTCTCCCAATTGTGGCAAAGATTCTTAATACTCGGGATCCCATAGTTAAGGAAAAGGCTTTAATTGTCCTGAATAACTTGAGTGTGAATGCTGAAAATCAGCGCAGGCTTAAGATATACATGAATCAAGTGTGTGATGACACAATCACTTCTCGCTTGAACTCATCTGTGCAGTTGGCTGGACTAAGATTACTTACGAATATGACTGTTACTAATGAGTATCAGCACATGCTTGCTAATTCCATTTCAGACTTTTTTCGTTTATTTTCAGCAGGAAATGAAGAAACCAAACTTCAGGTTTTGAAACTCCTTTTGAATTTGGCTGAAAATCCAGCCATGTCTAGGGAACTGCTCAGGGCCCAAGTACCATCTTCACTGGGTTCTCTTTTTAATAAGAAGGAAAACAAAGAAGTTATTCTTAAACTTCTGGTCATATTTGAGAACGTATGTGACAATTTTAAGTGGGAAGAAAATGAACCTACTCAGAATCACTTTGGTGAAGGTTCACTTTTTTTCTTTTTAAAAGAATTTCAGGTGTGTGCTGATAAAGTGTTGGGAATAGAAAGTCACCATGATTTTTTGGTAAAAGTAAAAGTTGGAAAATTCATGGCCAAACTGGTTGAGCATATGTTCCCGAAGAGCCAGGAATAACTCCTTGATTTTGTAGTTGAGAAGCAACACACATTGTAAACTATTCCTTTTCTCCACCTTGTTTATACGGTAAAGGAATCCTTTCAGCTGCCAATTTTGAATAATGAATATCATATTGTATCACCAATGCTGATAGTTAACCGAGTTGGTCTTCAGGTTAAAGCTGGATGAATGAATATCACTACTTGTTTCTGAAAACATGTTTGTTGCTTTTTATCTCGCTGCCTAGATTGAAATATTTTTACTATTTCTTCTGCATAAGTGACAGTGAACCAATTCATCATAAGTTAACTCCCTTCTTTCATTTGCATTGATTTAATTTGTGTATCATTAACAAAGGTGTGTGTTAATGCTGGAAAAAAAAGAAAAAAGAAAAAACCAACCTTGTCCTTTGGTTTATAATCTAGGTAGAGAGATAAGAAACATACAAACCAAAAGATAACTGAGACTGTATCAGGAGCATACACTCACTGTCAGATGTTTACTCTCAGAGCACAGAGGAAGCAAAGGGATATGCTCATCAGCTAAAGCTTCATGGAGGAGGTGGTCATTGAAAATGAGTCCTGAATGGGGTAGGGCAGTTAGGGCTTTCCAGGAGACAGTACTGAGAAGGGAATGGTATGAGAAATGAGTGAAGGTAGGAATCTACTTCCTATGACAGGAGACCAGTCTGCTTAGAGTGGAAAGTGTGGGGAGTGGGAGTCAATACATTTGGAAAGCTGGGTGATGCCAGTTGTGAAGAGCTGTTTGAATATTATCCCATTGAACTCCAAGAGCCACTAAATATTTTTTAATAGAAAATAATTGAGATCCATATGAAAGTCCCTCTACTACTATACGGCACCAGTGAGGGTGTGCCAAAATGTAGCCTTTCAAACCCTGGTGGTGGCCATTTGGCAATACATATCATAAACCTTAAAATATGTAAAGCGTTTGTTCTAAGCAAGTAATTTAATAATTGGCCAAGGATTGTATGTATAGGTCTGTTCGTCCCAGCACTAAGGTAGTAAAAATTGGAAGCAAGCATTTAGTGTACTGTATTGGTTAAATAAATTAAGAAATATTCACATAGTAGGACATGATAAATATGCTGACGGAAATCTATATAGCCAGGAAAAGCTATTCATTGAGAACTGGGAAGTGAGAAAGGTAGGCTAGATAGCAGTATTCAGAGGATTATTCCATTTTTTTGGAGAATAATAAAATATATGTTTAAAAAGACACTAAAACTCTGGAATTTATAAACATCCAAATAGGAAAGATTTACTTTTTGACTTTTTATTCATCTCTGTGTTATTATTTATCTAAAATGAATATTGATTTTTAGGAAATTTTTGAAAAAGAAAAGTGTTGGGAATGAAGCAAGTGATTGGAGCACAAACTGAGTGGAAGAAATATTTAGATTAAAAATGAGGTAGGTTAAAGTTTCCTCTCTGAAATGATAGATGGGGCTTATCATGAGGATTAAATGAGGTAATATATGCAAATTACTTATAATTTTCTGGCACATAGTAGTTAATTAAGAAAAGTGAGCACCCTTAATTACCTAGAATGCAGGGTTGATATTTTTAGGTTGACCTTTGTTTTGCTGGGGCGTTCTGCCATGTTTCAGTGTCATTTAATAAATAATAGTAACAATAAAGGTTAACATTTATTAAGTGACTACTGTGTAAAGTTCTGTTATTCCTGCAAGGCAACTGTTAAAATAATTTCTCAAAGGAATAAGATTTTCTTTATTTTTTAACGAATCAAAATGTTTTCTTAGACAGGATCACACCAGCTTCCACAATATATTTCTAGTTGGTTTGGGGATGTTATCCTGATTTCTTTATGAGACCAGGAAAAAGTAAAATCCTCTGTTCAGATATCTGGTTTGGCCCTAGGTTTCCTTGTAGGTACTGTAATGTTGTCTGTGGTAGACACAAGGACCAGGGAGTGTGGTTGGCTTAAAGTTGTTGGGTATGGTGACACTACTAAATCATGCATATGTAGGAATTCATTTAACACCAATTTTAAGGGTAGGATAGGCTGAGGGAAAAGGGGACTAACATTTGTCTTGCTCTTATTGTTAGGTGAGAGAAAAAAGATTTGCGGGGGTTGGGGTGGGAGGATTAATTCATGTAAAATAAATTCAGTTTGAGGTACCTGTGTGACATTCAGATGGGGGCGTCCTATTGTCATTTGAATACGTTGATCTGATGCTCAGAAGAGAAGAATGGGCTGCAAATGAAGATTTTAGAGTCATCAGAGGATGGATGATAACAGGCCATGGAACAGGATGTGATTCCCCCAGAGAGAAGGTACAGAGTCAGAGCAAAAGGCTGCAGAAAGAACTAAGGGACTATGGCAGCACAGAATTGAAACTGAATGTATACCTTTCCAGACACTTTTACTATCCGCATAAGTATATGCTTTTTATATAAAGTTGGATCATATTATAAATAAATTTTCAGAGCCTGATTTTAAATTATTTTATCAAAAAACAATAATAAAGATTTGTTGGAGATATTTGAGAAAATAGAGTTAATGAATACAGATTTGTCCCTTGACCGTGATATGTAGCTTGGACTTCTAAAAACATATTCAGATTAAGCCATGTTGACCTTGAGGTCATACCTGGGGTAAAAATGAGGTTAACTGGAGGAGTAAAAAGCCCCACTGAGGCAGGCACAGGTTTGACTAGCATTCAATTGCTCCTTTTCCTCTCTCCTTGTTCCTTCTCATTCTTCCTTCCTCTTCTCCCCCTCACATTTGTCTTTATTTGCTTCTCCCGAGAGATCATCGGTAGCCTCCTTGTGCTTCTGTGTCTTTCAGGGTGACCATTTAATCCATCCCCATGACAGCGTGCCACGAACCAGTGAGCATTTAATTCAGAACAATAACTGTCATTGCTCTGGTCATAAGGTGACCCTGGGTGTGACTGAATGCTGAGATTTTTTTTGGAGTCCTTGGTGAACAGAAGAGACTGAGAAGGAACCAGGCCAGCTTGGGGCAGCTGTATGTGTACTGCATGTATTTTTGATGTTCTTTTGCCTGGTCTTAGTTAGACCAAATAACCCAGACTTTGGGAAAGTGTTGTGTGAGACAGGTGTGTGACTGCTTGGCCAGGGAGGTTTCACAGCCAGGCCACACACTGATGTCCCTATGTTTTCACACAGGAGGTTGTTGTTCTCAAGCCTTTTGGGAGGGGTAAAGTTCTAGGATTGTGACTGTGATGGTGGTGGCTCATGGGGCATGGGGAGACAGTGTCTTCTTTTTCAGAGGATGGCAGCTCCTGTGATATTCTGCTATTATGGCTTAGTTGTCATCTAACAGTTTTAGGATAAGTGGGTCTATCCCAGTCCAAACATGTTCAAAGGTGATTTTCCAAAGGAGATGTTTAATTCTGTTATAAATTGTCAACTAAAGCATATGTAATATTTCAAAGCTCAGGAAACGGGTTTTCTTTTTAAAAAAAATATTCGTATTTACCTGCCTTGTTTCAAAAGAGATTCCAAGTGTAGGTTTAGCAAGTTGGTGTGGTTCAGACACATTTTATGTTTATGGGTTTCTTTCATTAATTTCTCTGCTAAGTTTCCTGATTTATACTATTTTCAATGCTAGTTTTTTTTTCATTAATTTTGCATCACATACCAAACTGAAGGTTTTGTCTGGTTTCACTGTTTAAACTTGTCCTTAAGCCAGAGCTGTCTAACTGCCATTCTGGGGTCTTTGGTCTGCCCTGCCCTGAGGGTGTAGTATTAAGCAGGATAAAGAATATTTACTTTTCACAGTGGCCTACCAAGCTGAAGGTTTTGTCTGGTTTCTCTGTTTAAACTTGCCCTTAAGCCAGAGCTGTCTCACTGCCATTCTGGGGTCTTTGGTCTGCCCGACCCTGAGGATGCACTATTAAGCAGGATAAGGAATATTTACTTTTCACAGTGGCCTACCTCTGTGCTTGACCCTCTCCATTAGGGACCTCTCAGATCTTGTATTAAGGGCTTGGGCAGTTGTGTGTTTGGGGATAGGTGTGGGTGGAGGAAGAAGGGAGGAGTAAAGGAATCCTTATTAGAAGTGTAACTTTATCAATGTAATTCAATTCACCGTTGAGAGTGGGCTGTCATTCTCTGGCCCCAGGGGCCATTAACATTTTTTTTTTTTTTTTTTTTTGAGTTGGAGTCTCACTCTGTCGCCCAGACTGGAGTGCAGTGGCCGCTCCCGGCCACCGCAGCCTCGACCTGCTGGGCTCCGGCGATCCTTCCGCCTCAGCCTTCCCAGTAGCTGGAACTACAGGCGCGCACGGTCACGCCCGGCTAATTTTTTGATTAATTGTAGAGATGAGGGCTCGCCAAGCTGCCCAGGCGGGTCTGGAACCCGCGGGCTCAGGCAATCCACTCACCTCAGCCTCCCAAGGCGCGGGATTACAGGCTGAGCCACCCATAACATTTTTAAAAGTGAAAGAGGCCAGGCGTGTTGGCTCATGCCTATAATCCCAGCACTTTGGGAGACTGAGGTGAGAGGATTGCCTGAGCTCACGGGTTCGAGACCAGCCTGGGAAACTGGTGAGACCTCATCTCTACAATAAATCAAAAAATTAGCCGGGCTTGGTGGCGTGTGCCTGTAGTTCCAGCTACTTGGAAGCCTGAGCCCAGCAGGTTGAGGCTGCGGTGGCCATGAAATGCCGCTGCACTCCAGCCTGGGTGACAGAGTGAGACTCCAACTCAAAAAAAAAAAAAAATGTGAAAGAGTAGGTGTGATACAAGGATCTTTGGGCATAGAACATCCTCATTTATTGAGTATTTTTCAGTTCGCGGGGGACATAATATGCTATCAAATGGGGTGAGATTACTTTTTGAAAATAAAAAAAGAATAGTAGTTTGTTACTGTGGAAAATACAGTTGCTCTACAGAACATTCTTTCCCTAAGATCAATCAATATCAGAAACCAAATTATCATAGAAGGTTGTTTATTTACTTCTCAGGGAATGTAGCCAACCTAGCTAGAGGTTGGTGCCATCAAAGCAGGAAAATCTGGTACATCCATCTTTGCTATGGGGTTTAACTTGTTGCTGAAATCCAATACTTGTATTTAAGAGCAAGAGTACATTTCTCCCTGGACACAATTATAAATTTTGTCTTTCTAGATGCCCCTTTGGTAGAGGCAGAGTATCAGTAGGTGATAATTTTATGACTATTAAGATATATGATCAAATTGGCTATCAGAGTTTGAGAGATAATATGCTTTTTTAAAGCAATGAGATCTATTATTTTTAAAACTTTATTTTTAAGTGGCAAATAATAATCGGGGGTATGATGTGATGTTATGACACATGTATACATTGTGGAATGATCAAAACAAGCTAACTAACATATACATCACCTTACATACTTATCATTCATTTCTTTATGGTGAGAACATTTAAAATCTACTTTTATCAATTTTGAAAAATGCAGTAGTTTATTATTAACTGTACTCATCATGCTGTGAAGTAGATTTCTAGAACTTATTCCTCCTGTGAAACTTTGTACCCTTTAACTAACATTTCCCCTTTCCTTGTCTATTCCCTCATCCCCCACCTGCTGGTAACCACCATTCTACTCTACTTCTGTGAGTTTGACTTTTTTAGATTCCACGTATGCTTAAGATCATTTGGTATTTGTCTTTCTGTCCCTGACTTCCTTCACTTAGTTTAATGTTTTCTAGATTCATTCAAGTTGTTGCAACTGATAGATTCCTCCTCCTCCTCCTCCTCCTCCTCCTCCTTCTTTTATTTTTAAGAGAAAAGATCTCGCTATGTTACCCAGGTCAGTCTGGAACTCCTGAGCTCAAGTGATCCTCCCACCTTGAGAATAGCACAACCTCCCTTGTAGCTGGGACCACAGACCCATACCACTGTGTCCTGTTAGAATTTTCTTCTTTTTTAAGGCTGAATTGTTTCCATTGTATGAATAGGGTGCCAAAAAAATGAACACACATTTTTAAAAATGTTTATTTTTTTATTATAAAGATGTGGGGTACAATTCAGGGTTAGGTATACAAACATTGATTATGCAGGTACCCTTGTTGATGAGGTATTGAATACACATTTTAAGAAAGGAAAAAATCTGTATTAAAACTGTAATACTTGCCGGGCTCAGTGGCTCAGCCTGTAATCCCGCGCCTTTGGGAGGCTGAGGTGAGCGGATTGCCTGAGCCCGCGGG